TACGGCGGCGGTGGCGTATATCAGCCGTATAGGGGGTATGCGCTCTCGCCGCATGTCTCAGCTCGCCCGCCGTCTGCTCCTCTGGAGTCATCCGCGGCTGAAATCGCTGCACGCCATTCATATTCAGGCAAGCTCAACCGTGCAGCCGATGCGCTCTCACGGCAGCCTTGCGTCCTGGAGCATGGAGACTCCACCCCGAGTCTGTTCAGCTGATATGGGCGCGATTCGGGGAAGCCCAGATCGATCTGTTGCTTCCCCCGAGATCGCTCATTGCCAGTTGTTCTTTCCCTGACCGAGTGCTCTCGGCACGGATGCACTGGCTTACAGCTGGCCTCGGGGCACGCGCAATACGCGTTTCCCCCAGTGAGCCTGCTCGCGCAGTTACTGTGCATGGTCAGGGAGGACGAGGAACAGGTTGCTGGTTGCGCCCCTCTGGCTCAACCGGACCTGGATGTCAGAGCTCTCCCTCGCGATAGCCCTCCCCTGGCAGTCCCTTCGAGAGAGCACCTACTCTCTCAGGGACAGGGCACCACCTGGCACCCTCGCCGATCTTTGAAGAGATTTTTAGACGCGAGGAAGACTTAGGTAACCTCCGATTGCGGTGGCTAATACCGTCACTCGGGCTAGAGCCCCCTCCCCGAGCGCGCCTATGCCCTGACGTGAAGTCTATTCACTGAATGGTGTGTCTCTCGCTGAGAAGACCCCCGTAATTTGCCAGATCAGCGTTGTGCTTTCTTTACGCCGAGAGAAGTTGGAGAGCAGGCTGTCGCCCTCCACACTCAAGGTTACGTGGCTGCCATCTCCGCTCTCATAACGCGGTGGCTGGCAGCACCGTGGGAACGCATAACCTCATCATCCGGTTCCTCAGGGGCGTTAAGCGAATTAATCCACCCCGCCCCCTCTCATGCCCTCTTAGGATCTCGCCCTCGCGTCAGATCCCTTCGATCCTCGACTCAGTATATTTCTGTCCCTGAAGACAGCTCTGCTGGTCGCGTTGATATCGATTAGAGGGTCGGGGACCCGGAGGCATTTTTCGGTCAGTGACTCGTGCCTGTAATTGGGCTGGCTTCTCTCACGTATGAGACCCCGCCCGCGATATGTGCCCAAGGTTCCTACCACTCCGTTTTAATACGAGGTAGTGAGCCTGCAAGCGCTGCCCTCGGAGGAGGCAGACCCAGCCCTTATTTATTGTCCAGTTCGCGTTTTGCGTATTATCCGGACCGCACTCAGAGTTTAGATCATCTGAGCAGCTCTTCGTCTGTTATAGCGGTCGGCAGCAGGGAAGTGCCGTACCGAAATAAGTTCCCACTAGATTGTGGATGCCTTTCTTTCACTATCAGAGCCGAGATGAGCCGCGTCCCCCGAGAGCGCGTGCGCACTCCACTCGGAGCTTCGCATCCTCTCGAGCGCGCGCACGCGGCGCCCCTCTAACAGACATCTGTAGAGCTGCGGGCTGGGTGACACCCAACACATTTGCAAGGTTTTACAATCTGCGAGTGGAGCCGGTTTCCTCAAGGGTATTAGGTAACCCTTGGTGATTGAGGAAACAATTCGGTAGGGTGTTGAAACACGCTTGCTGCGCCATTTTCCCTAACACGGAGATACGTGCGCCTTTTTATCTGTCAGTAAAGTTCCCCGTCAGGTGAGCCCTGCAGATTCCTCCGTGGCCCCCAGCACTGACTCAGCGGAGGAGTCACTTGCTGGCCCACTACGTTGTAGGTCTGCCCGCTGGTCAGCCCGCGTTTTGGGTAAAGGTGTCTGCTATGCGTGGTCCCCACTAGGCGATCCCATATGCTTATTCAGCCACGGTTAAGTCCCCCCCCCCCCTGGGCGGACCCGTGTCTTCCCTCCCCGCTAACCACTCTTTTGCTATGCGTACTCCCCCTTTTTAGGGCTAGTCCATATGTAAATTCTGCCATCTATCCCCCCTTGGGTAACGGATGGCCTCCGCAGCGTCCTCCCTATCGGGATTGCACGCTTCCCAACGTACTGTCGTATTTCCTAGAATTATCTAGATGCTCACGACACCCCAAAAAATATATATAAATCCGTAAAACTTCTGTTGAAGTAGGATAAATTAGGGCCAGGGACACGTTGGAGGACCGCGCCCCCCATGATGTGGGTGCGTCACGCTTGCTTGACTATCTCCTCATCGGGGGTGTTGGTAAGGTGCAGTCATTATGGCGCTTTCAATGGGCTCCCAATGCGTGGATTTTACAATCAAATCCACTTATAGTGCTGAAGTTCCCCCCCAAGGGGAACGTTCGAGGTTACTAAAGTAACCCTTCGTTCCCCGAGGAGGGGAACGGAAGCACTATACTCCGTCGCCATAATGACTGTCCCTTAGCTGTTGAAAGACTCTTCAGCTTAAAAAGGATAGCGTCTGCTGGCGCCAGGTGAGCTTATATACTCAGTTGATTGCTTATGCCGCTCACCTGCGCAGGCTTGCGCTGCCAATTCATTCTTAATTGGCCCGTTCAATACTCTTTCAGACGAGTAGCTTCTGAACCGAACCTCCCAATGCGTGGATTTTACAATCAAATCCACTTATAGTGCTTCCGTTCCCCCCGAAGGGGAACGAAGGGTTACTTTAGTAACCTCGAACGTTCTCACATTGCTATTGTGTTTTAAACAAAAATAAAACACATTTTAAAATACATTTTTAAACATATGTATTACAAAAACAATAATTTAAATATTATTGCAGGGTTTTACTGTTTTTGCTGTGTTTTTATACATTAAATTCAGTCATAGTGGACCTATGCAAGACTCACCAACCACAAACTCTAGTTGTTTTTAGATATTTTTGTAAATAATATTTCTTGTTAGTGCATTTTAGCTTTTTTTGGCCATTCTGATTATTCCCAAAAGATATTTTCTTGCCGTCTTTGACAGTGTGAGAATGGCAGTGCTGATTTTCAGCCTGGTGACTCGAAGGTTTGGAGCGCAGCCTAAGTATGTGTGGATAAGTAGATTCCGTCTGCATTATCCCCTCTTTTTCCAGGCACAAATGCCTCATGGGAAGACATCGCGTTCTGGAGTTTGGAGGGTAATGAAGCCCTCTGTGACGCCTCTGAGCCTGGTACATTTCTTCTAGTGTCTGAATGCATGAATAACACATGGACTGTGTGTACACTCACATCCATGAGGAATATAAGATCAGTCCTGAGCTAGAGCTGGACGCTGTGATGATATACACTGTCTGTCCATCATACCGCCCAGCGATATCCCGAAGCACTAAATATGTGGGGTTAGATTTGTGACATAATTCTGCGTGTAAAAGATCATGTTTGCTTAAGGGCTTTAACATGCGTTAACACTTTTACACACTAAGGATCATGTTTTGAGCGTGCACAATGGCTTGTTGAATATACATTAACATGTTTACACACAATAGAGCATGTTTTGAGCGTGCGCAATGGCTTGTTGCATACACATCAACACTTCCAAAGACTAAAGATCATGTTTTGAGCATGCAAAATAGCTTGTTGAATACACATTAACACTTTTGCACATTCAAGATCTTGTTTTTAGCATGCACAATAGCTTGTTGAATACACAAAAACACTTTTACACACAATAGATCATGTTTTGAGCGTGCACAATAGCTTGCTGTACACATGTAAACACTCCTGCACACATTAGATCATGTTTTGAGCGTGCATAATGGCTTGTTGAATACACGTTAGCACTTTAACACACAATAGATCATGTTTTGAGCGTGCATAATGGCTTGTTAAATACACGTTAGCACTTTAACACACAATAGATCATGTTTTGAGCGTGCACAATAGCTTGTTGAATACACGTTAGCACTTTAACACACAATAGATCATGTTTTGAGCGTGCACAATAGCTTGTTGAATACACGTTAGCACTTTAACACACAATAGATCATGTTTTGAGCGTGCATAATGGCTTGTTAAATACACGTTAGCACTTTAACACACAATAGATCATGTTTTGAGCGTGCACAATAGCTTGTTGAATACACGTTAGCACTTTAACACACAATAGAGCATGTTTTGAGCATGCACAATAGCTTGTTGAATACACGTTAGCACTTTAACACACAATAGAGCATGTTTTGAGCGTGCACAATGGCTTGTTGAATACACGTTAGCACTTTAACACACAATAGAGCATGTTTTGAGCATGCACAATAGCTTGTTGAATACACGTTAACACTTTAACACACAATAGATCATGTTTTGAGCGTGCACAATAGCTTGTTGAATACACGTTAGCACTTTAACACACAATAGAGCATGTTTTGAGCATGCACAATAGCTTGTTGAATACACGTTAGCACTTTAACACACAATAGAGCATGTTTTGAGCGTGCACAATGGCTTGTTGAATACACGTTAGCACTTTAACACACAATAGAGCATGTTTTGAGCGTGCACAATGGCTTGTTGTACACATGTAAACACTCCTGCACACAATAGATCATGTTTTGAGCGTGCACAATAGCTTGTTGAATACACGTTAGCACTTTAACACACAATAGATCATGTTTTGAGCGTGCACAATAGCTTGTTAAATACATGTTAACACTTTAACACACAATAGATCATGTTTTGAGCGTGCACAATAGCTTGTTAAATACATGTTAACACTTTAACACACAATAGATCATGTTTTGAGCGTGCACAATAGCTTGTTAAATACATGTTAACACTTTAACACACAATAGATCATGTTTTGAGCGTGCACAACGGCTTGTTGTATACATGCATTAACACTTTTGCACTGTAAAGATCATGTTCTGAGTGTGCAATAAACTATTGTGCATGCTCAAAACACAATCTTCCAAGGCATTTTTCATGCTCAAAACACCGAATTGTGTTTCTTTTGCACACAGAATTGTGTCACAAATCTAACCCCATATAAACACACCATGTTCGGCTGGTCATGTTGTAAATCTTGCTTTGGGTTTGTTTTTAACACATTATTGGTGGCTCATTGCATGTCTATCAGCTTTGTGAGGAGGTGATTGGCTGCTTTTTTTTTTTTTCTATTGATGGACCAATTAGAATTCACCATATCAGCTCTTATTTTTGCCTGTTGTATTTTTGTGTTGCTATGTTTGGAATGGCAATCTAATTTAGCATTTTTATATGCATTCTGTGCAGATTAATAAAGGGACTAAGCTGACAAGAAAATGAATGAATGACTATCAGGGCTAGCGTTTTGTTGCTTTGTTTACACTGCCAGATGGGTCAGCGACAGGGGCTTTCACACTGCATGACTTTACATTAGGAAGAATCGCTGACAACTTCGTCCAAACTACGTCTCACAGCCAGAAACATGTCGTATATCTTTTGTTATTAACTACATAACAAGAAAGAAGCCTTTAACCCTATAAAGCCGCACGTATCATATTTGATACACGAGTTTCTAAGACCAATATAATATCAACCTGATCAATACTTTGTTTAAAAACCTGTTGTATATGAAGTGATACTTGTATTCTCCCCCCTTGTGGATTTTTATGACACTGCAGGCCGTGGAAGGGCTTTTTTGTACCTTTTCAAAATGGCTACTTGTATTAAAATACTCGAATGCTTTTTGGCTAAAAACTATTTGCTAATTTCAAGTTGTTAAAATAAGAATAAAATTTATATTGTTACTAATTTCATTAAATAAATGTCTTCTTGATTGAAACAAAGCAAAATTACTTAATAATTAATTTATTTTGTTGCAAATAAATTGTGTTGAAAATCATGCTTCAAATTTGATACAACAGGTATAAAAGGAGCTTTATTTCCGAATAATGATGTTACATTTCTGTAATGTAATCAATATAATGCCTACTGCAATGCAAAAACACTGTTTTTGGATGGTTAAATTAATATAAATAGTGACTGAAATACCATTTTAAAATACATTGTGGGAGTTTTTACAATAATTTATAATCAATAAACTATATTGATCAATTTATGTGTATTTTTAGATGTCAAAAGAATAGAGGAAGAGGATAGAAAACGTCATCAGCATAATAGTCTATGGCAATTAAAGTGACAGAGAGAAGTTAGGGGAAGATGAGGATGCATGGCCATGCGTGATGATGGTCATTCAGACAGCAGTGATGAGGAAGAACATCAAGAAGAAAGTGTAGTTTAGACAAGCACAGAAGTAAAGCTCCCAACTACACAAACACAGAACACAGTCTGAAAGTAGTCAGCAACTGGCAATGCAAAAATGAAAGAATACAGATGAAGAAAAATACAATATCATGGTACATTTGTTGAGTTCATTGCATCTGCTGAGGACACACACCGACTGCTTTCTGACTGTGTTCTGTGTTTGTATTGTTGGGATCTCATCTACTTGTCTGGACTAAACTTTTTTCTTGATAATCTTCCTCATCACAGCTGTCTGAATGACCATCATCATCATGCATGGCCTGAGGACTCCATCCTTCCTCATCATCTTCCCCTAACTTCTCTATGGTACTTTAATTGCCATCTATCATTATGGACTCTGTACATGTACAGTATTGAAATAGTTTGCCACTGATGAAATGCTACTGGAGAACAAATAAGCCTGCACAAAATATTCAAAGAAGGCAAGTCTATAAACACAGATGCTAAAGACATTGAGAAAGTCCTAGGCATGTACATGAACATGCACCCCATAAAAGGTGCATGTTCATGTACATGCGCTTTTTTAATGTTAGAAGGCATGATCCTGATAATTTTCCAACATGGAGAAACCTGACAGAGATAAAAACACTGCACCAGCAAAGACTTCTCATCTGTGTACTGTGTAAATGTAAAGTGCATCTTTGCCTGAACAAGAACTGAAACTAATAGTACCACAATGTGAAATAATAAAACACTGTAAAATGCTTAATGTAACAAAAAATAAAGAGATAAACTGCCTAAAATGTTCTCTTTTGTTAAAAAGTAAGGGCAAATAATTTTTTTGTGTAATTAAAATTATCATTGTTTTGAGCAAAAAGTTGCACAAACGCCTCATGTATGAGATGTGATACAAAATAAATATCATAAAAAAAATGTATATGGCAAATTTATTTTTTTGTTTTTGCTTAATGGTTTAATAAACATCCCAGATCCAGAAAATTAGAATTTTCTGACTATTTTTTTGACAAGTCAGGTCTTACAGGGTTAATGGGGTAGAAAATGTACATATTTGCTTGCTTTGGCCCACTTCAAGTCAACTGTATACAGTTGCAACATGCACTTTTTATTTCAACAAAACTTTTCTCAATAAAAAAAAAAAATAGACAATTGAAAAAGAGTTACTGTTTTGCATCTAAAAAATTCACAGTAATCTGTCCTGGCTTAAGGTCCCTGATCACCAGTTAACTACACATACATGGGGAGCTAATCTCATTTTAAAGCAATGTTATTGTAAAAAAGGATAATAAAAAAGCATTAAACAGTCCTGAATTTCACTCTGATTCCTTTATATACCCTGAAATAGTCACATTAAGCTTTCACTGGAAGATTATCATTGGATGAAAGCGCTAGCTGTGCATATACCCCATTATATTCTCGCATAGCGTAACATAAACACACGTGTTTTAACCTGATTGGTTATAAGTAGGGCCAGACGGAATCTGCGGACGTTTTTTGCTATTTCTGCTGAGAATTTTGGACAAATCTGTGGATTTCTGCGGAATTATTTTAGGAGTATCCAGCGGAGTATCATAACTTACACTTTAACATATTAAATAAAAAATAAATTACTGAATAAAAACTGAATAAATTCCGATTCACACATTTACTCAAGTAAATAAACAGAATTTATGATGGGCTAAAAAACTGCAGAAATATGCGGAATTCTGCGGGAAATCCGCGGAAAATCTGCGCGCGCAGATTCCATATGGGCCTAGTTATAAGCATTCACGTGTAAGTGATTCTGAACAATATCTTGCAATGATTACTCAAGCATACAACAATTAGACAGCCACTAGGCTACTCTGAGCTGACCCCAGACCAGTGAAAATGATCCACCAGTTAATAGAACACACACTCAAAGTACAATCTGTTTTATACCCAAGGCTGTTTCTTGCACTTTCAGCCATCTTATTAAAACATTCAAACCTGCAGCTTGATAATACACACAAAGGGCCCTATTATATACCCGGCGCAGTGTGGCGCAAGCCGTGGCGCAATAGTCTTTTGGTAGTTTCAGCTTGGCGCAAGAGTGGTGTTGAGGCGTTGCGCTACGCTGTTTAAATAGCAAATGCATTAGCGCTCATATGTGCACCATAGGCGTTCTGGTCTAAAAAGGAAGGCGTTCTGAGGCGGACCGCTGGCGCGTTGCTATTTTAAGAAACTATAATAGATTTTACATTAGACCAAAACAAACCCGGTCTGAAGTCGAGCGCAGAGTTGCGCCTCGCTTACACACTGCTTAATACACACAAGAGAGCAATAGGCAAATATCTTTACATATGAAAAACATTAAATATTAAGGATATATATAGAATATAATAAGAATAGATATAAAATATAAATATAAAGGATTAAAATATTACAAAACATATTATTTTCTAGCCTACATAAATATAAACACCACTGCTTTATGTCTTCTTCATCTCGGGAGGCTTTTTCAGTTCATTCATAACAATTTGCTTTTGTATAATGTTATTATTATTAGCAGTATTATTTATTATATCCATATTTATATTTGTTTTATTAAAAACAAGCTTAGATTTGCCCACCTGTCAGGTTTTAGACCATATGGGGCACAGCATGTGTTTTAGGATATAACTCAGGTTTTTGAGCACATTTTGTTAATATTATTCATTTATTCGTTTGCTAGAAATTAGAGCTGAATTTAGAAATAGTTTTGAAACGAATATTTGCGCTTAACAAACGCAATTAATAATTTATAGGCTAATTGATGTCTGTGCGTAAAGGTTTCCCTATCCAAGAGCGAATGTGAAAGTAGATCCATTATCTCTCATTCTCACGCAGTAGATGCTCTGTTTAACAGTTTTCTGTGAACTGTTTGCTTGTGAAATGCTCAGTTTTTCCACTTAGACTTACTTTGTGTCCTGTAAATAGCGAATGCGCTCTTGGCGCGATGCAGCTGGCTCTTAAAGGGAATGGGAGATGAGACTCTAATTGGTTTATTCTCAAAACACACCTATAACTCATTAAGAAAATAAACTCAACCCTTTTAGACCATGCGCCACGGCGCAAAGCGCATTTTCCCGTCTGTAAATTAGCAAAAATGCGTCCTGACACACCCTAAAAGCGTTTGCGCCCTGCGTTTTGCGCTCTGCGCATGGACCGTCAAAATAGAGCCCTATGTCTATCTCGCATACAAAGGAGTTTAATTAAAAAGAACACATTAAATGGCAAATAACTCTGCAAATAGTTGTTATTAATCCATCAAGAGTCCAATTCTACTTAAGAAGTCTCCACGACCTCTGATCTGGCTTAGTAGATCATTTGGCATAACAGAAAAAGCAATGACTCTCAAATTAATTTAGTTTTGCTCTGCAGAGGGATGACACGGAGGCCATCATATAATCTAGACTCTTAAACATTCAACTTTATTAATATTCATTAAGACATAAGAGCTTATACATCCATCCCGGAGCAGACGTCCATCAGAAAACCCACACCTTCAATTCTATATCTCATATTGACCAGGGTCGTGACCTTTATGCAAACAGCTGGATTTCAGTCATCCACTCCTGATGTTCACCTGTCACAGACGCACACGCATGTAAACCGCAGCTTACACACATATTACTGAGGTCACGCCCTTTCCATATGAGCTCTAATCTATCGGTCTGCATGCATATGTCTTTAAGCTGTATTATATGAGTTGTTTTTGTGCTGTTAGATGTGGCTGCGGTCTTGCGGACGGGCTCTACTCCACACGCAGCTGAACTGACCCGTCCCGAACGCTCGCCGGTCATTAAACATCGAGAACTGCCCTCCATCGGTGTAAAGTCCGGCTCCACGTCCAGCCCGACGCCACCCAGATCTGAACAAACACATCTGTCCCCGAAATCTGCAGCATCACAGCCGGCCAGCCCTCGCAAGAGCAGCCCCACACATGAGGTCAGAGACTATGCTGAAATACTCACTCATACTATATATATATATATGTTCTGTCTAGTTATCGAATCTGATTGGCTGATAGCCTTGATGTACTTAAGTAATATCAGCACCCGTACAGCCTCTTTACCCTTTGTGTATTACTCCGCCCACATACAGCCAGCAAAAAGCAGACACTACAGATCTAAAGTTTACAAGATGCACGCTCAGCTGTTAAACTGTCAGCTTATGATTTGAGTCCAACGCTGAAGAAAGTAGTTCCTCATACAAAAGGGTTTTTGGGACTCTCCATGTTTGATTTTAATTGAAGGTATGGTATACAGTTTAACCCAAAGAATGAGCAGTCTGTCAGATGAAGAAGAGTCTGAGTCAGAGATTCAAATAAATAAAATGAAGTTTACTGAAGATAGTTTGCAGTTTCATCAGCAGAAGCCAGCTTCAACACTCGCAATGAGTTCCTAGGCTGCTCTGCCTTACAGTACAACAATGCTTTAATTATACTCGTTACACCAGTCTAAAAAAGGTGGGATCCAGGTAATCAGTTGTCATTGGTTACAGCAAAAGTAGACGATTCTAAATGTGTGCGTTGATGAAGGATTGTATCTAACTCCAGATATGGATGTCCTAAATGTGTGCGTCAATGGAGAATTGTGTCTAACTCCAGATATGGATGGCGGCATGGTTCTTGGGGGTCAGGCAGGCCCTAAACTATTAGAAGCTGATCTCCGACCTGTAAAAAGCTGAATCATGGAGGCATACATAGACGCAAGAGACAATCTGTTGTGGAAACTCAAGGTTGTTTCGTTCAGCTGTCTTATCAAACTGGTTCAAAACTGGTTTAATCAACATCCGGCTACGATATCCTCACTACACACAAAGTCTATTTAGCATAAAAAGGAATTACTTTATAAAGAATTAACAATTAAAACAGCTAAATTACTGTAGACAATATCAGGACAAATCCGCTTGTTAAGTGTGACGTCACACAAATCGGCTTCCGGGGTCCAAGCGCTCTATTTAACTGAATGGGGAGACTCATGAAATGGTAATAATAAACATTTACATAGCGATTTAAACGGCCATGAAACCCCCTCGTTTCAGCAGGGTGTTTTCACACCTCTACTTTGGAAAAAGTCAGAAAAGTGGGCGTGTCCAGCTCTGTTTAGGGGGGAGTGTCGGAGGAAGAAAAGTGGGATGGTGTGGGAGTGTCTATTTAGGTACGCGCGAGCTTCAGAGTCAAAATACACACACACACACACACACACACACACACACACACACACACACACACACACACACACACACACACAGTAGAAAGTGATGGTGTTTAACCTACATGGACTTTTGTAGTGGAATTATTTGCCAAATTATGAAATGTTGGACTTTAACTGCAGTTTGGCTCTTTCATTCAGGGAATTCATTCATGTCCCTCGCGACAAACGAGATATTTGATTCGAGGAACTGCTCTAAGCGTGTATTTTTCATGCAATGTTTGATACCGCACGGCGAATGAGAGAAAAAAACCTCCGCATTTCCCGGAAACTTAGATGCACACGGCAGGTAGTGTCAGAAAGCCGCGTGTGTTATTCCGGTCACTGAATGCGGTGAAAACCCTACACGAGGTTAAAGTTTGGTTGTGGTGCTAACATGTTTACACTCGGTGCAATAGTTAACTTAGTTCGATACGAACAAACTGAGTAAACAAAGAGCACTGGTCGCTCACTTACCAAATCTGTAGAGACAGGACAATTACCAGCAACTAGAGCCACGTCTTTATTAAGAGGAGACTACAAGCGAATCCGGATCTCAGCGTTTGCAGATGAGAACAGCTCTCAGGTAAACAATAATCCTCCTTAGACACGTAAGTTATTGTTGTCGAGCGTCGCGTACACTGTTAATCCACACGTGACTCCAGCTGCGCTCTCACAGAGAGAAAAAATGAAAACAAAACTTCACTGCAGCAAACTATAAAAGCAACACTTCACGCTTGTTTTGCCAACACAACGTGGTGTGAGTGTCGTCTAAACACTGTGACAGTAATGAATATTAATGAAGTTGCACAATAGAGCGCGCTGATTGGTTTGAACCAAGCCTTACTCATGCATTAATGCATCACACTGTAAGACGTAATAAGACTCACTCTGGCACAGACGTCCAGTCTGCACGCTGGAATACACGCTATTATCTCATGACCGTGACGCAGCTTCAAAAATTTATTTTAAACCGGAAGCACGAATTTGCTTGAAATAACGCAAAAACAACCAATTTACACTTTTTAGTGAAATATAGGTGTCCTAATAGTGTTTATAGCAGTGTGGGACACATATACGACTGTCAACAGCTCAAAACATGTGTTCTGGTGTTTCGTGACCCTTTAAGGCTTTCGAAAATTACGATCGCAATATATATATGTCCATGCCTAATATCCGATGGCCAGAAAGTAATTAATTTTTTTAGAAATTGTGAAAATGTTGATATTTGTTATGCAGCAAGCCCAGAGATTGTTGTGTACACTATGAATTTATGTAAAATTAACTTTAATGTGTGATAGGAATAAAACGTGATCATAAACGAATGATTTCTCCACTCAAATGAATGGCGGCTTGCATGTCTCCTGGACTGGAGAGGAGCTACGACACTGAACATTCTTACATAAAGCAGTGTGTTAACTTATTTATTAGTTAAAATCAATTCAAAGTTAAGTAATCATTCAAATAATTATGTTTAATTAAAAATAATGAGAAACAAGATGATAAGAAAAAAGGATAATCGTTGATCCATGCTGAGACGGATTGGAAGGTATAAATCCAAATCCTTCATGATATATAGTCTGGGTTGGTGTTGTATATAACACTACAGAAACATTGTAATAAACTGCAGCACACTTTCTGTTATTTTACAGACTTAATCCTCCATATATTATTTCTTCTTATACCTTATATCAATCTAAATGACTGAAATGTCAATAAAATTCGCTTTGAGATAAATGTTCCCATAATGCAATTTATAAATGTAAATAAATGGAAAATTTCCCAGAGATGGGTTGCGGCTGGAAGGGCATCCGCTGCGTAAAAACCTGCTGGATAAGTTGGCGGTTCATTCCGCTGTGGTGACCCCGGATTAATAAAGGGACTAAACCCGACAAGAAAATGAATGAATGAGTAAATGAAAAACACAAACTATGGAAACGGTTATAAACAGATATTTTCACAGTGCAGTGAAAGATATATGTATTCGGGTGCTTTTTACATCTGTAGTTCGGTTCATTTGGTCCGGACCAAGGGCACTAAATGATAGATTGTTGCATTTTCTGCCGTCTTTGGGTCGCTTTCACACCACACTGCTGGCTTTGGTCTGAACTAGTTGAAAAGAACCAAAAGGCTGTCATCTGACAAAATCCACATCTCTCATTGGCCAGATGTTGTTGAATGTATTTCCTAAACTGCTTATCGATTGGTCAGAATTCACGTGCGGGAAAATGCCAATGAACTCCCACAAGTAAACCGCCGATTGCTGACTAATTTCATTGGCATATGACAATCGCTTCAGCTCCAACTTCAGACACGCCCTCTGTAAAGTGTTGACGCTGAAGCCCCATGTGAACGTAAGGAGCGTAAGGCACTAGGCCTGCGGCCTCAAGCCAACATACGCCTCTCACCAGTGCCAATATTCAACCATTTTACACTGCATGGCAGATGTTGTTGAACAGTTTCTAAACTGCTTATCGATTGTACAGAATTCACGTGCAGGAAAACGCCAATGAACTTCTGCAAGTAAACAAAACCAGCAGACACAAAATGTCGCTTTTTACTCTGGAGGGACGACTGCGCTGCTGATTGTATCCCTGCTTTAGACAAACTATACATTATGAAAATGATGCACGGCTGCGGCTGGAAAACAGTGTTTAATGCATCGCTCGTCACTTCAGGAGGAGGCGAGAAATTAATTTAGCTAAACTGTGATATGGTCATCTTGCGGAAATATTACCAACGATCCATCAGCTAATAGAGTGGAAGAACCATGACGTCAATTTGTATGTGTTACGTTATAGAACGTATTAATTATTTGTTTGTTTATTTTATATATATATATATATATATATATATATATATATATATATATATATATATATATATATATATATATATATATATATATATATATATATATATATATATATATATATATATATATATATATATATATATATATATATATATATATATATATATATATATATATATATATATATATATATATATATATATATATATATATATATATATATATATATATATATATATATATATATATATATATATATATATATATATATATATATATATATATATATATATATATATATATATATATATATATATATATATATATATATATATATATATATATATATATATATATATATATATATATATATATATATATATATATATATATATATATATATATATATATATATATATATATATATATATATATATATATATATATATATATATATATATATATATATATATATATATACATATATATATATATATATATATATATATATATATATATATATATATATATATATATATATATATATATATATATATATATATATATATATATATATATATATATATATATATATATATATATATATATATATATATAT